ATTCCGGCTCCCGGCATCAGTCTGCGGCGTGCAAGTGAGATGAGCAGAGTGCTCAGGGGAAAGCGCTCCCTCGCCGGCCGCCCGCCCGCCTGCCTACATGTCAGGCTGCCTTCCTGCCTAGTAGCCCCACTGGACGGGTGACACCAGGTGAGAAATCCACCCAGCTATCCCAAACGGCTGGTTGCACTCACCTGAACATGCTTACATGGGGTGCTGCTAGGGGCCAATAAGTACAGTAAAAATGAAAATCCACCTAATCTAGGCAAAAGACAATGGGGATTTAGTTACATTATATGATCATACGTTGCATAAGCCTGCCACAACGCCAATGTACCCCATCTTTGGCAGGTCCTACACTAACAGCCAACTGTCTACTAAATGAGCTACTCACTTGGGGAAATCCTTCCATCTCGAATTCTCTGCAGTACAAGGCTAAATAGGGTCCTGAGATAAGACACCTGTGACAGGGAGGGTTGCAAAACCAAGGAGCCGGCTAGACTCCTATATATATATATATATATATATATATATATATATATATATATATATATATATATATATATATATATATATATATATATATATAGGAAAACAAGGGGCTGGCTGCACTCACCTGAAGCTCCTTGGTTTTAGTGGATAAGGGAGAGCGCTGGATTTTCATTTTTACTGTCAGTGAGTATGCGTCTGTCAGTCAAAGTGCGGCCTTGACAGAAGGGGTGGGGAAAATTTTACCTTACTGGTTGGCCAAGCAGCACAAAACCTAAATACACCACTGGCTATAACAGCTTTAAATGCTACTTTACAACTTGGAGGATTTAATACACAGAGGGAAGGGGAATCTTTGGCAGTGATACAGCAGGGTTCCACCATAAATCTGTTCTGCTTTTGACATCTGCCCTTCTGAGATTTGTCCCATCAAATTGCGTGTAGGAGTTGCATTGAACCAGAACTCCTATTATGCTCATTAATACTCTGCCTGAGGCTGGTGAAAGTTGAAATATACATCTAATGTAATGGAATGCTGAGGCAACTGCTTTCTTGAGAGCTTTTGTGGAATTTGTGATTGTCTGAGCCTGATAAATTTTAGTTCACAACAGGAATTGACTGATTATTGTTTATGCCGATTATTAGAATCAATATTTCTGGAAATCAGTATCGGTCTTGTATTTTAACATACTCATCTCTCCCAGTCATTGAATGCCGCCTTCCGCATCTGGAAACTCTAGCCGCCAGCCAATGAGGCACCACAATGCTATCTATCCGTCCTCTCCAGATCTCTCACCGTTCCTTCTGATTCGTGTGTCTGACTGCCTCTCTGCTATTTCCAACTGGATGGCTACTCATTTTCTTAAATTTAACCTGTCTAAAATAAGGCTTCTCGTCTTTCCTCCCTCAAGTGTTGCTACTTCCATGTCTGTATACGTCCAAGTCAATAGCACTACCATCAGCTCTACCTTGCAGGCTCGATGCCTAGGTGTTCTATTTGACTCCAACCTGTCCTTGATGCTCCAAATCTAGTCACTTGCCAAATTCTGTTGCTTCTTTCTCAGAAATATAGCTTGCACCGGCACCTATCTAATACTGCATGCAGCCAAGGTGCTGGTCCATGCTGTTATAAGCTCTCACCATGACTACTGCAATCTGCTTCTTAATGGTTTTACGTGTTCAAAGCTGGTACTATTACAATCTATAATCAATGCGGCTGCAAGGCTCATCTTCCTGTCTGCCTGAGCATCCCATGCCTTCCCCCTGGCTTCCTGTAAAATATAGGGGTCAATTTAAAATTCTCTACATAACGCATCTCTTACCTATCTATCCACACTAACACACAAGTATGTCCCATCCAGGGCCATACGCTGTGCCGAAGATTCTTCTATTACCTATTCATACTCGCACCTCTGGCGCATGCTTTCAAGACTTCCCTAGGGCTGCAGCGTTCCTATGGAACTGGCCCGGGCAGGCGATCAGTTGTTTCCCGGATGGTCGGCGAGGGAGCACTTTCCCCTGAGCTCAACCTGCAGTAATGCCGGGAGCCAGAATATGACGTCACTCCGGCTCCTGGCGCACGAGGGAGTTGAGAAGGGAGATCATAGCTCCCTTGCTGATAGCTTAGTGCAGCTCCCCGCCAGCCTTCCTGCACATCCACTGCCTTCATGCCCAGCAGACCCACTGGACCCCAGGTGAAAAATCCACACAGCTCTCCCAAAAGTAAGGAGGCTGGGTGTATTTCAATTTTTTTTAAAAACTAATAATTGTAAATGTTGGGGGGAAATGTGTGTGTGTTTGACAGTGAATTTGCGTGAGTGTGTGTCAGTGAATGTGAGTGTGTGTGTGTCAGTGAATGTGTGTGTCAGTGTGTCTGTCAGTGTGTGTGTCATTGCGTGAGTGTGCCTAAGTGATTGTGCGTGTCTGTCAGTGCTTATGTGTATCTGTCAGTGCTTGTGTGTGTCTGTCAGTGCTTGTGTGTGTGTCTGAATGATTGTATGTGTGTCAGATTGTGTCATATCAGTGAGTGTATGTGTATGTAGGTGTATCTGAAAGTGTGTGCTGGTCCGTAAGTCTGTGTTTGTCAGTCAAAATGAGTGTTAGTTAACAGGAAGAGGTGTGGCCTTGGCAGGAAAGGGCAGGTAAATTTAAATTAGGAGGTGCCCGAGATCTGTCATACCTAGGGCAGCACCATTTAAAAATACACTGCTGCTTCCAACATACAACGATAGTTTCATAGCAATAGTAGGGGGCTTTGGGCATGGTTCCACCTTGCGTTGTCGGCCTCTTTTTGTATATACTATAGAAGCAAAATAGTATAAAAGATAAAGAATCAAATATAATTAACGTAGGACCTAATGTAGTGGAAATTGCACCTCTCTCATATGTTATGGGTTATGGACAAGTTATGAAATGTTGATGAGTAGAGAATGGGAGCTGCCTCTGTAGACATCGGAGAGGGTCAAAGGCAGTTATGCCAGTTTACATTTATCAGAGACTGGCACCCACTTAGTCAGGGAGAGAATAACAAGGTAGTGCAGGTCATTAGTGGGGTGTGGGATGAGGAATATGCAGGGTGTTAAACCCCACTTGCGAACATGTACGATTAAGCCGTGTATTAAAGGGAGCATCTGTAGACACTCTATATTGGACTATAAAAAAAAACTGTGGTAAAAAAATAACAGAAACATAGTAAAATAACATAAGGCATAATGTGGCAGAACCAGCCTCGCCACTGGGCATTGGAGAAGACTGATGGCCGGCGTCCTGCCCTGTGACTATGGCCCCATGTTGAAAGGATGGATTTTCCCCTGCAAAGACCCAAAAGCTGGGTCTTTCGGTACTTTCCCTATGTGAGCAGTGTTACCCAGATAGCTATGCCATGGAGCCCATTTGTATAATGAAAGACTATGGGAAAGACTTTGGCTCCATGGCAATTGAACTGTATGTGTGTGCTCTGAGCGCCATTCAGTAATAATGTGCGCTCAGATCTGAGCTATCTGGGGATATGTTGAATGTACCTGTTTTGTGCAATGGCTGCACAGTTATATGTTTTTATGTGTTTTATTGTCTTTTGCTGCCATGTGGCTAATGGAGTTTTGCCTCTGTCCTGGAGATAATTGGATTACTTCCCCAATTATCTCCAGGATAGAAGACTCTGTGGAACTGGTTTTGGGCAGAAAAGCCATGCTGCATTTGGTCAAATAGGACTTTTCCTTAACTTTTGAACCACCTCCTCTTGTCCTTGATTTTGACATATGTTTGTATTTGGAGTATGCTGATTCTGAAAATGTAAGTTTTATGTGAATGTGATGCATACTTTTCAATTTATGAATAATGTGGAAAAACTGTATTTCTCTGGCTGTGATAATTAGATTAACCATTGTGTTCAGTAATCATATCACAGCCAGAGAGGAGGATTTTGTGTGGGGGTGTCTTTCTGTAATGTACGTGTGTTATTGGTTGTTATGTAAAACCCTGTGGGCAGTACTAAGTTTGTGGATTGGGAATAAAAGAGGCTGCATGTGCCAGTCCAGTCAGTTCCAGCTTAACCCTCAAAGTGAAGTGTCGTCTCATTATTGGGGGAGGATTTATTGTATGCTGTTCCAGTTTGACTGCTAGGAGTCTAAACCCATCCGTATGGTTTTTGCCTATTCAGCTGTTTATAGCATTCATATGCTTGAGAGAAGGTAGACGCTTCTTTGGTTCGGTGATTGTGGTGTCGGCCAGAGTGCTTGGAGTCCTCAGGAAACGCTAGGAGCATCCTTTAACGGAGGTATCCAGTCGGGGTGCCAGGTGATCCGTTACACATAAGGACTATGTGAAGAGACAGAGTTCAAGCTGATTGCTGATGGAATAGTTGCTGTTGCAGGAATTCCCTTCTTCGCGGCTGGAACCAACGGTTGGATTTTATCTGGATCCCAGGATCTCTGCTGTACTATTGTCTGTGTAGGGTGTAGTTCCCCTGGTTCAGTCTGCAGACCAAGTTGCTGAAGGGTGCTTGTAATTTCTGATGCATGTGTCACTTTTAAAGTCCCAGTATCCCAGGTGATTATCAGGAAACGTGGGGTACCCCACTTGTATGATTTATTGCGAGCAGAAAGTTCCTTAGTCAGAGGACGCATAGATCTTCTCCAGTCTACTGTTGATTTGGATAGGTCCGGATAGAATGTTAAGTCGTGGTCTTCAAACCGGTATGGAGACATGTTGCAAGTGACGGCCATGAAGGTAAGGCGATCCTGCCCGCTCTGGAAGCGCATAATGACATACCTGTTGGAACCCACATTGGCGCTGGGGGAGGCAGGAATCCTGTAGCAGCTGTCTAGCAGCATAATTTTAGCCTGTTTGGCGGGGAAGAGATTTTGTAGCAGATTCCTGAAAAAATGAGGAATTTCAGCTGCGGTAATGTCGTCCACTAGGCGGTGCACCTTCACATTGTTCCACCTCCTCTTGTCCTCCATTGCTGCCATGCGGTCTTGTGTGATGGCGTGTTTGCGTTTTAGTGCCTGCATTGTTTACTCCAGGGTAGTACGAGCGGACATCCCTCCGATGTCCTCACGGAACTGGCCTATGTCGGCCGCAATGTAGCGTCGGAGTTCGTCTAAGAGGCCTCTCAGCATGCCTTCCGTCACCAGCATGCCTGTGACGATTGTGGGTGTCGAGGGTGCAGGTTCTTTCACCACCTGTATACATATAGTCCCCAAGTCGCCCAGGGAAGCCATGACAGGTCTCAGTTGATATTGCAGCCTCCGAAGTAACTCCCCAATATCGGTGGACGACGGTGGTTTTTTAGGCTTGTATTTTTTGTTTTTGCAGTCCATCATTTGAGCAGCACTTCCCCGTTGTTTGGAAGTATTGAGGTAAGAAATTACCCTGATTTTTAGCATTTAGGTGCTGTTTCACTGGGAGCTCCTGAGATGCTCGTCTGCTCAGGATGGTGCTGGCTCCGCCTCCCGTTTTATAAACGTGGACAACAACACTTAACAGTTGGCAATACAAGCAAAACAAAAATTTCAGAATAACGAAGATAAAAAAAAGCTTGTGTAAACAACATTGATTGACAGCTAGCAATAACATTGTTTATATACTTGAAAGAGCATTAGTAAAACGATACAAGAGCAAGTACCTAGGAAGCTTCTGATATTTAGCAAGTAGAACAGAGAAACGTGAGTGCAACTTACAAAAAAAACCCTGTATCTCCTGGCCAGTCATAACAGCATCACTAATTGGTTAGCCCTGCCTCTCAGGTGTTAGGGCAGGGAGTCTAATAAAGTAATTCATTAAATTAGTAGATAAAAGCTCCATCCTTCCCAACCTCCCCAGTCTTTTTCCTCTCCTCACCTTACCTTGATAATGCCAGAGGTCGTTCAGCATAACTTTCTCTAAAGGACCCAGTATACAGCCTGCCTGAGCAGGGCTAACTAAATGAAGCTGCTTTGTGGGATTCTCTTTTTTTTTTTTTTACCAACTTGTGCTCTCCCAATTTTAGGGGATAAACTTTTTGGCAAGATTCTGGATGAGGCTATTCAGAAAGTAGCTGAAGAGGAAAAAACCTTTTCTCCCCAAAACATAAGATGTCTTCATGGTGAGACAAAGGATTCAAAGATCGTTCCTTTTGAGACAGCAGATCTTACATACTTGTCAGGGACTACTTCAGATAAGCTTCTTGTATAGTTTCCAAATTCTCTACCTCTCTACTTCTAAGTCATTCAGAAGAAGGGAACATGGAACCAATGCCAAGCCCTTATGACAGTGTAGAAGTCCAGTATCTGAAAGTAGGTGGCTGTCTAAGACAATTTTTTCATAAATGGGCCAGATGGATCTCCAACAAATGGATTGATTCCATCATCCAAGATATTTCCTAGGGAAACATTTACAATTTTTGGGCCTACCATTTGTGTTTAGCCTGGCTACAAGAAGATTTCCTCTAAGTTGTCATTTCTCTAACAGCAGTCCTAAGAAAACAAGATGCTTTTCTATTATCTGTATTCGTATCATAGTAGCAGTTTAGAGTACATGAAAAGTGATTCTCTTCCTATAAAAACATAGCTTGATTCTTAATCGAGAGAAGAGCGACCTAGTCCCATTTACATAATTGTGTTTCTTGATACTCTGATCAATACAGAGATGACGATTCTGGAATTACCAGAAGAAAGTATATTTAGTTTGAAATTCAAAATTCTGTCCCTCTTGAGCACAAACTGCTCTACATGACTACATGAGTCTTTTGGGCTCTGTAACAATAGGCCTAGTCATATAAAAATCACAGGCTGATCAGATGTGCTCAAAGGAATTTTCTCCTATTATTCCACAACCTAGATACAGACTGGAATAAGTTAATTGTCAATTCAAAGGAACTCAAGTAAAAATGCAGTGGTGGTTAGAAGATCACAATCTGTTCCAAGGTTTTCCTTTGGAGGATACTGATTGGATTTGTATCACTACTGACACCAGCCAAAGAGGTTGGGGTGCACTGCAAATAACTAATGATACAAGGAGTTTGTCTTCAGAGCTTTGAGGAGTTCTGCTTCAACCCCAAAGGGACATTAGGTCCTGATCAAGACTGAAACATAACTGTAGCATCCTAAATGAACCACCAAGGAGATACCAGGACTATGAATCTCATTAAGGAGCTGAGACCAATAATGTTTTGCTCTGAACAACTCCTCCAGGGTCTGAACGCAGTTTACCTTCCAGGGAAATAGAATGTGTTCAGATCAGTAATGGACCCAAGAGAGTGAACCCTGAAGATGGAAATGTTTCTTCAAATAGTGAGATACTGTGGAATAGATATAATCTCATATAGATTTGATGGCCTAACCTAGGAATGCAGATGTTCCAAGGTCCTTCTCTTGCAATCTCTATTCCCATATAGAAGCTCAAGATGCCTTTACACAGGGGTGGGAATGTGAACTGGGTTATGTCTTTCCTCTAATCACTCTCACTCATTGAACTCTGAGAAAAATTTAGAATGCTAATGTCAAAGTGATTGTCATCATTCCATTCTGGCTAAGGAGGCCTTGGTTTCCACTGATGCGCCGTATAAGCCTAGAGGAACCTTGGATGCTTCCAGAGATGTGGGCCTTCTTCTTTAAGGGACAGCAGTCTGTCCATTCCCTTGGTCCATGAACCAATTGGTATTACATTTGAAAAGGAGTTACTTGTGAAATCAGGGATTTCTCATGGAGTAGCAGCAACTCTTTTCAAAGCTATTAGTACAGCTTGTTATCATCGTATCTGGGAAAACTTTAGGAACAGGTCAGAAAAGAACAGAAGATTTTCTTCCACAGATGTTCTGGAATTTTTGCAGGACGGCTCAGAGAAGAGTCTGAGTCAAAATTCTCTTAAGGTATAAGTCTCTGCACTTACTGCCCTTATTGATACTAGGTGGACACTGGATCCTCTGGCCAGATTCTTCAGATCAGTATTATGGATAAAGCCTTTTGCTAGGTCTCTCTCTGCCCTGGGATCTTCGCCTTTAAGGATTTCAGAAAATAAAAAAATTAAAAAAAAATCGAAAGAAAAACTTTTCCTCCTACCCTTGGGAGCAAGAAGAGGTGAAGCTGTCACTAAAGCAATGTTGAGAAGATGGATCTCCACTTCCATTTTAAGGCCTGCACCACTATGGGAAGAACAACTGCAGTGGAGATTAAAGCTCATTCTATTAGATCTGTTGTGACTTATTGGGCTTCTGTAGTGGGGTGTCAATAGAAGAGATATGCAGAGTAGCTAACTGATCATTTGACCTACATTGGACACTGTAAATTAGACTGGGCTAAGAGTTCTTCCTCTTCCTTTGGCAGAGGTGCTTTGATGACAGTTGTTAATAATCCATAAAGATAGTGTCTTGCTGTTTTTATGAGTGGTGTCACTCCCTTCTTGGTTTTACTGGCTATTACCCATTAGTGATGCTGTCATGGTTAGCCAGGAAAGGAGAACATGTTAAATACTTACCATAATTTTCTTTTCCTGGTTATATTCCAAGACTGCATCACATACTCTTCCTATTGGCTTTTCTGGTTTTTTTTTTTCAACTTTTATCTAATAATTTATTAAAAAGGGACATTATAGTCACCAAAACAACTTTAGCTTAATGAAACAGTTTTGGTGTATAGATCATGTCCCTTCACTGCTCAATTATCTGTCATTTAGGTGCTAAAACACTTTGTTTATGCACCCTAGTCACACATCCCTGCATGTGACTTACACTGCCTTCCTAAACACTTCCTGTAAAGAGTCATCTAATGTTCATACTTCCTTTATGGCAAATTGTGTTTACTTTAACATTTCTTATCACTTGCACTGTTAATAGCATGCTAGACCCTGCCAGAGCCTCCTGTGTGTGACTAAATTTCAATTTAGAGAGCAGGAGATAAAAAACTTTTAAAGTGAGTTACAACTGAACTGAAAGTAAAACAATTTTTTTTTCATGCAGGCTGTGTGAGTCACAGCCAGGGGAGGTGTGGCTAGGGCTGCATGGACAGAAACAAAAGTGATTTAACTCCTAAATGGCAGTGAATTGAACACTGAAACTTTGGAGGCATGATCTATACACCAAAACTGCTTTATTAAGCTAAAGTTGTTTTGGTGACTATAGTGTCCCTTTTATTATTTTATTTCCTGTCCTGACATTTGACAAGTGGGGCTAACTCATTAGTGATGCGGTCATGGAAAACAGCCATGAAAAGAAAATTATGTTAAGTATTTAAAACATTTTTCTTCTTTTGCAGGGCACCTAAGAAAAACTCTTAGAAAAAGTGATGGTGGAGTTGTTACCATGCAAACATTTTCAGAAAGTTAAGACAAAGTAATATTTTTGATATAACAAAAAAAAAAAAAATGCAGCTAAAAAGTATTTAACATTTAGGAACTGAAAGTGTGAGAACAAGGAAGGTACAGAAATCTATTGCAAGGAATGAAAAATTTGGTAAAAAAGGGTAGGGTTTACAGAGAAGAGGAGATCCAGTAAGCACCACGGCAGGACATTAGAGGATATATAAAATTGCAACATATTTAAGAAGGTCCAATATTTCCAAACCTATAATGCCATGGCTCCAAAGGCATTGCTAGGGGAGGGCTTTAGGGGTTCAGTTTCTAGATATGGGGTTATTCCACTGGCATCCTGGCTGTGGAGAAAAGGCAGCAGTAAGTACAAGATAATAGCCCCCTCACCATGAAATCTCGTGAAATCTCAATAGGCTATCCGGCCCACAGAATGACTGGAGGAAGCTCTGTGCACCCCATCCCAAGTCACCAGGACTTTGAGCCCCCATCCAGTGCACCCTATAGTGGCCTTATAGTAGCTCCAGCCCTGGAGAGCAAGAGATATTGTTGGAACCTTAAGGTAGGGGGTCATTAAGGTCTGCTTTGGGTGCAAGCTCCTTGTGTTTCTGTAAGCAAGCAATACCCTTGCATGGATTCCCATTTTGTGAATACTTGAGGTGGAATCAGACCTTCAAGCTTTCTATGTGTCATGACAAGTTATGTAAGAACTTCAGATGTTACAGTTCTAGATTAATCTAGGGCAAACAGGTTTCTGCTTTAAGTGGAGATGACGAGCACTTTTTAAAATAAGTGAATAAACGCAGACGTAACAAAATTGGTATAGAATAACGTCATGTTCTCTTTTTGACACAGTATAAAAACATTGGTTTTGACAGCAAACATATATTGATGGAAACAGGTTTCTTGGAAAGTAAAATGGCCTACAGCCTGCAGGTATCAATTTACAAATGTGGCAAACTACAAACAGAACCTGCAAAGCCAGTTTAACAAGACACATTACGGCCACTGCACTGCTACCTCAGGAAACACAGGAAAA